CCCAGTACTTCGTACCTAGCTGTGTGGTAGTGTGGAAAATCGCTGCCACACTTGTCGTGGAGTGTAACTGCTCTCTTAGGGTTACCTCCGCGGTCAGAGGCCACTGCAGTGACATCAGTTTGCCTGCCTGTAGCCACCTCTCCTCAGTAATGCTCGGTAACCTAGCTTGTGTAGGTAGTGTTGGAAAATCCTGCCCACCGTGTGGAGTGGTAACCCCTAGCCTGGACCATCGCCGGTCAGAGGCAGACTGACTAGCGACATCAGTTGCCTGCTTTCTCCGCTGAGCGCCACCTCTCCAGTAACTTCGCCTCGTAACCTAGCTGTGTAGGTAGTGTGGCAAACTGCTGCCACCCACGTGGGGCTAGTGTAACCCTTATGTACTTCCCGGCTCAGAAGGCAACTGCAGCGACATCAGTTTGCTGCCTTCTCGAGCCACTCCTCCCAGTAACTTCGCTAACCTAGCTGTGTGTAGGTAGCTGTGCGATTAACACATCTCTGCACCTCACTTCAGTGGTGGAGTGTAACCCTAGGCCTCCGGTCAGAGGCAACTGCTAGTGACATTCAGTTTGCTGCCTGAGCCACCTCTCCCAGTAACTTTGCTTGAACCTAGCTGATGTAGGTAGATGTGGAGAAATCCTGCTACCTGTGTGGAAGTGTGACTTCTTTATTTGGTTTACCTTTTCCCGCCCAGGTTTCATGTTAAGGCATTTACTTTGCAGTGACATCAGTTTGCTCAGCCCCTGAGCCACCTCTCCCAGATAACGGCCTCGCCTCGTTCAAACTGGTATCTAGGTGTTAAGGATAGTGTGCAAAATCCTGCCACCTCGGTACGTCGAGCTTATGTGTATACGCTGCCTAAGAACCTCTCGGTGATTGGGCACTTCTGCAGCGAGATCACTCAGTCTGACTCTTGCCTATCCTCCAGTTGTTTCTTCACCTCTCCATTATACGATCGGGCTCGGGGTTTAACTTAAATAGGCTGTGTAGGTAGTGTGAAAATCTAGCCACGGTGTGGAGGGTAACCTAGGACCTCCCGGTCCAGAGGCACTGCAGTACCATCAAGTTTGCTGCCCGAGCCAGCGCTCGGTCCCTCAGTTTACTTAACTTCCGTCGCATAACCTTAGCCTTGTGTAGGTAGTGTGTAAAATCCTGCCATCGCTTTTGTAGGGGAGGTGTAACCTAGGTACCTTCCCATAGTCAGTCTAGGCAATTGCCACGCGACACATGCATGTTGCTGCCTCTGAGCACCTCTCCCAGTATCGCTCGTCAAAACTATTGTCTGTTGTTGTCCGCCTCGAGTATGGAAATGATGCCCCACCCCGTCGAGGGAGTGTATTACAGCCTAGACCTCCTTCTTGTCAGAGGCACTGAGCGACATCAGTTGCTGCCGCTTCTTGTAGCCACCTTTCTCTTTCGCAAGTACCGTTTCTTCGCTTCTGTAACCTAGCGGCTGTAGGTCAAGTGTTGGAATATCCTGCACTCCTTTTTGTCTTTGTGTGGAGTGAACGTCTCATGACCCTAAGGACCTTCCAGTTCAAGACGCACAGCAGTTCGACATCAGTTGCTGCCTCCTGAGCTTTACCTTAAGCCCGGTGGGCGGCTAGGAGAAGCAAGTGTTCGCACGCGTACTTTAGCACAAGCACCGCTGCTGCCGGGTGCCGACAGCGCATGCGAGTGTAGAAAAGCAATTTGCGGCTGAGGCGATTATTTTCTAACGACCTCTCCGGCGGAGAGAACAGCGGGCCGTGTCGCCTTAGTTCTTTGCGATGGAATTACTTTCGCGAATCGAATGTTCAGGAAAGCAATAGGGATTAGCGGTATTTGGTGGTCTCTTCAAGGTTGTTTGTGCGTCGGGCGGCGGATACATCACCACCTTCCGCGTTACGCTTCCTTTGAGTGATATTACCACTCTTAAGCCCGCAATTTTTCTTTTTCAAATACTACTGCCGCTTATCGTTGTGGAATTCGTTCATGCGTTATGGTGTAATAATTCCTAATGATTTCTGGGTGTGTCAACCTTGCGCCAAACCGCTCACCTCTAGCTGATACCGCTAGTGTAGTGCAATATTTTTATTTATCGAGTAATCATTTGCTTACTACTATGTTATACGTATTTATCACTTTCACATTGCTATTATGATATGTAGTAACCTACCTGTTACACTACGGCTGGTCTAATTTATTGATAGTGTATATTATGCTAATATATGTATATATCGTAGTCTATTCACTCATACTTCTATATTGTGATTATTTATATAATTACTTTTTATCATACTACTATAGGCTCCGGTCGCTGCCCTGCGATTCCTCGCCTTTCTTCTCCCCTTCTGCTCCGGCCTTCTGGCTCTATCTTTTTCCATCTTCCCCCCTTTCATTTTCGTTTCCGTGACCTTGCCCTGGTTTTCACTGTTTGCCACATCCGCTCTGTCCTTCTTGAGCCGTTTTCCATGCTCTTGCTGGCCTGTCTTTGCCTTGTCTTGCTTATTTCGCTCTACACTCCTTTGGCCTTTGCGTCCGTGAACGCAAGTTTTGCTCCCGGCAGCGCATAACATTTCTTCCGGTTTTGGCTCATCATGATGTACTTGTTTCTTCTGTCTTCCTCGCCCCTGGTTCTGTTGTTACGGCGTCACCTCTATATATCTAATTATCGCGTGATTATTCAATCGACTGGGTGCGACTTGGTGCACATTCTTCGGTGGCCCGACCGACGTAGTCGCCCGACAGCGGCTGTATTTCCCTCATCTAGGTATCGCCCACCACCGGGCATGTAAGAGTATCGGTTGGGGTAAGTAATAGGTGTGACAAGACAAGGATTGGTGAAGGTAAAGATTGCGTCCTGGTCCCGTGGCAGCTTGTTTGCGTATACTCCGGGATTCACCTGGTTTGATCGAAGAAACACGGAATCTACCGTTCGCGCAAGACAGTCGTCTAAGTCTGCTCGTAGACAGTTACAGAACTGAACGTAGTATTGTCTGAATTCGAAAATTCTGGAAATCGTCGGGATTCGATCCAGGACCTTCCCGATCAGAGGAACTGCAATGACATCCGTTAATGCCCTGAAGACACCCCTCCGGTTGCCGCATTGGCGTTTTCGTTGTTGAACTTTTAATATCGGATCGTAGAACTGTTAATAGTTAACACTATCATAATTGCTTTATCATACCAATTAATTTAACTTCAAAAGTTGAAACAAAATTCTTTTTGTTATTACATTACCGGCCGCAACGACAGAGATGCTTTTACAAACAGTTATGATGAATAATTAAAAACATGGCTATTCAATATGGAGTACTAATAGAGTCGACAGTTACGACTATATACAAAAATGAAATTTTCAATAATGATTATCTGGTTCTGTCCTATGAAGTAGGTTTACATTTAGTTTTTGTGAACTTATGTTCACGACACGTCTCGTAATTAATTACGGTTAAGAATGTTTCCAATCACAAAAATAGTTTATATTCTTTCTATCTTATTATTCGCCTTCACACTCCTAATTGTTTCTAATTTCAAGATTTTAATATTTTGGTAATCAGTTATTGGACAACCTTACAATTTTGAAAGCAGATTTTTATATGGCAATTTAAAAAGTTACATGGCTGACGTTGTAATAAATGAACGTCACTCCGACAAAGTTGTCTGAAAAATGGTTTTCATCAGATTTATTCTTGACATTCTTGAATAAAAGTTGTTTTATTATTTACAAACATTTGAGCTATAGAGTAACTTTTTATATATGTTAAACTCAACTGAGTTTTACATTTTTTACCCTTTGTAATGCCAAAAACTCAAATGTCATAAATATAAAACTTTAATTTATTGAGCGTTAAAATATTTTATGTTTGTTCCAATTGGTTGGTTTATGTTGCTAGCTTAATGTTTTACTTCGGAAATTTTAGTTTTATTATTCGGTTTCTTTATATACAGATACACAATCTTGTGATGTGCATTTTTTATTCATGTTTCATGGCCGGCTGTAAAATACCGCGCTTTGCTACGTATGTGTCCTTAATTCTTAATGTCTTTGAATGATTAACGTATACTTTTAATTGCTAACGGTTGGATATAATTTAATCTACTACATTAGACCTAATAACACTCTAACCGGGTGGTAGTTTTTTTTTCCAACTCGGCGGGGAGAAAGGGTTTCAATGACCTCGTATCTGTCTTTTGTTACCTCCTATTCGCCTGAACGATTCGACTAAAATTATTGTGACGAGTGCTTCCTATTGATTTGGTCACGTGAAAGTTATCGGAATATAAAGAAGCTGAAAATCCAGTTTATTACTCGCGCTACTTTTCTTGAACGATGGAAGCCTTGATCCCCCTCCCTTTTGCAAATAAATGCAGTTGAAGGCAAAAGCTCGCAGCCAGGCACTGTTGACACCTTCCAGCATTAAAACTTCGTTGGCCCCGAAACAGAAGCTAGTCAAAACCAGTTGGTTTCAATAGTGGCAGAATGCCCTGTTCAGATTTATTGTCATATCGAAAGAAAATGGCTGAGTCAGGTCCAGGTCCTTCAAGGGTGCAACCTAAAAACTCGCCGAAAAAATTTAAGCAGCAAGATGCAGTTTTTGACTTTCACCTTCCTAGATCCACGTTTGGGGCATACTTTAAAATACTCTGTGGCCGGACTTTGTAAACTAATACCCCCACTCCACCCGAAATCGTCAATCCATCGTTCAAGAAAAGTTGCCCGAGTAATATGATGACACAAGGCATTAATCTAGTGCGTTTGACCAATTTCCCTATGTGGGAAGTGTATAAATTCGTTTTGCTATCCTGAATATCGCATACCATACAAATGTACTCAAAAAATATGGCGGACAATAGACTCGATTTTGCTTATTTATTTTTCGTATCTCAATACTACATTTTTAACCCTAAGAAAGGTGCTGCGCAGTCAGGCTATTTTTTTTTAAATTCTTCTACTCTCAATACATAGCGTATTACTTCTTGCACGACATCTTTTAGAATGTATCTTCAATACTTTTCAGATATCGACTTATCAGAACGGTTGCAAAATGAATTATGTGCATATTTTATGGTAATTTCTGTTTACTTAACATTTTTTGATACGTCAAACAACACAATTATTGACTGCCTTGGCAGTCATGGAATGGAGGTAATGGCCTTCCAAATTATAGTATCTTGCCCGAAATATTGTTGAATATTTTATCTACGATAGTATGCTGAATGGCGCACTCTTTCGTTGTTTGTTTTTAATTCGAGCTTCATAATAACAGTAATTTAGCAAGGAATTAACGGATATTAAGAGAATTTGTATATATAACTGCAACCTTGATTATAATTATTACCTTACCACTTTTGCAACACTTCATGCAACAAATATTAAAGTGGAAACATTTTCTAAAAGCGTGAACCATTTTTACTACGCTTCGTGCTAACGGCAAATCAATAAAACAAACGAAAGTCGTTATTGTCTAAACAAAACACATTTACTATTTAGCTACCAATATATTATGAAATCGAATTAAAAATGACTTAGTGCATAAACTACTGAATGATACACGTTTGATATGAGAGAACAATTTTTTTGGAAAGGCAACAATTCATAAGGGGTAGTCCTTAAATTACGTAACGCAAATTTGGATATATTTTCAATACCCCCTCTCCCCCCTGTAACGCACCCGTAACGTGCGCTTGAACTTCTCCTCAAACGCTTGCGACAACACCCCCTCCCCTTGTAAACGCAAGAATTGAGAATAAATTACAGCACAGTAAAAACAATTTGTATTCGTTTTACCGGTGCTTGTATATAAAAGTAATTAATGATAACTAAAATAGAAATTACTTAGCGATGCTGGCTGTATCTAACAATACGTCTGGGGCAAGTTATGAGTGAAGGAGGAATGCTTGGGCGAGAAATAGTTGATCACAAGGTGTGCACACCCCGTCGAGAATGATGCAGGTGCGAGGGAGTCTACAGCGCCAATTTAAATGGATACTGGAATGTACTTCATATCAGTTTGAATGGTTTCTTCGAAACATTACAGATTCAAAAAAAATTGAAATAATATTTCCATTAATTCTAACAATTTATAATTAATAACTTTAATTTTAATTTACAAAGAAATAAATTAGTTAATATTTCAATGTTTGAGTACAGGACTCAATAAACGAATTATTTCAGCAAATGATGAAAAATGTAAAGAGAATAATATCAATGTTACGTAACACTTAATACACCTACCCCTATGTAACGTGGCGTAACGCTGCCTCAGAACCCCTCCCCCCTTCAGCGTTACGTAATTTATGACCCCTAAGTACGACGCGTTAAAATCAACCAAAATGCACAAGTGTGCCATTAATTTAATAATGATGGACCCTAGTATACCATTTCGCTTAATTTTTATCAGTCACCGACAGAGTTGAGCTGAGTCTGTAGCGTCCTACAATGTCGCTGACTCTGTAGCGTCTCTGACCAGAAATTGAATTGAACTGAATTAATGCCTTATTTTACGTGGCGAGGCTCAGGCCATGAGGCCTGCTCTTCCGTCTGACCACGCAAATTTC